AAGGAGAACAGAGGGGGTGGGGGCTGTTAAGGAGAATCGAGGGGGAATGGGGTATTGAATATTGATTTATATGTTAATTTAATCAGTTTACTATAGATCTTGCTGAGTTCTTAAAGAGACTGTAGAAGTAATTTCAATTGACCCCCAAATTAAAGTGGCAGAATTAATTAACAACGTAAACCTCAATCTGAGAAACAATTCAAAAAAATATTCTCAGTATTTTATCAAAAAAGTGTCGTATTTTCTTATTTTCCTACAATATCTCTGAAACATAAATGCGCAAGTCAATCCATTAGAGCAAGTACAGTAAAAATTCATCAATTTTCAGGTAGAAAACTGAGGTTATCTCATTCCTCCTTGGTCAAACATGGATTCAAATGAAAGTCACATGAATTACGTCTACAGAGCACAGACACTTTAAATTCAGGTTAATTTCTTAGATTTAATCATTATTTTGCCAACAAAAACAAGGTTATTTATAATCTTATAAACATATTTAACACAATTATTTTTCAATACAGGGATACCCACAAAGAATGAGAATTTAATGACGACCTAAAAGTATATTTTTCTGAAGGCTGAATCTAGATAATTCATTCTATAGATATGGCAAAGAAAGAAACAAGTTTACAATTGCCATCAACCAAGGATGTAGGAAAATCGACAAGGATTCCGCTTAGTCGTCTCTGAAGTTTCATCCTTTGTGGGTAACCAAGTATCATTTTTAAAACTAAATAAATTTTTTTATAAAAAAACATATTTATAATCAATCTTGATTCTAGATTCTTGTTTAATTAGAAATATTAGTGTTCTCTTCTAACACTTCAATTATCGGTTTCCTCTTTCTGAACAAGAAAAATTAATTAATCATTAAATTAATTAAATCACTAGAAAATCCATTAATCTATTAATCTATTAGTCTAATTATCGACTAAATTAATTGGTTGCAGTCTTTTGTTCATTTTTTAAAATCACGTTGAAATTTTTTTTTTCAAATATATTTTTTTCTTATTTCTTGTTAAAATTGAATTGTAAAATGAAAAAAGAAGAAAACATCTTCGGTTTGCATTTGAAATTGGAAATTTAACAAAGCCGGATCTTCTAAACGATTCGACGATTTCTACAGAATAGAGAGCAAGTAAATGTGTGAATTCTTGCATTACAATTTTTTTTAAATTAACCAAGTCGCTGATGGAGATATTTTGGGTTTGCATTAAATTAAAAATTGGATACTGAGCAAATCTAATCTTCTAAAAGAGATGTGGATGTCTACAGCACAGAGGGCATCAAATACTTATTTCAAATATCTATTTTCTCATTTACCTGTCATTACTTGGAGAAGGTTTACCCTCGTAAGTAGCTGGGTAGGTTGGGTTCAGTAGGAGTAGGAGACGGGATAGTAGGATCTAGAATATTGCAGGATAAGGTTTAGTATAGAGTAGGAGGATATAGAATATAGTAGGATAAGGTTTAGTATAGAGTAGGAGGATAGTAGGATCTAGAATATAGTAGGGTAAGGTTTAGTATAGAGTAGGAGGATAGTAGAATCTAGAATATAGTAAGATAAGGTTTAGTACAGAGTAGGAGGATAGTAGGATCTAGAATATAGTAGGATAAGATTTAGTATCGAGTAGGAGGATAGTGGGATCTAGAATATAGTAGGATAAGATTTAGTATCGAGTAGGAGGATAGAAGGATCTAGAATATAGTAGGATATGGTTTAGTATAAAGTAGGAGGATAGTGGGATCTGGTTTAGTATTGAGTAGGAGGATAGTAGGATCTAGAATATAGTAGGATAAGGTTTAGTATAAAGTAGGAGGATAGTGGGATCTATAATATAGTAGGATATGGTTTAGTATCGAGTAGGAGGATAGAAGGATCTAGAATATAGTAGGATATTGTTTAGTATAGAGTAGGAGGATAGAAGGATCTAGAATATAGTAGGATAAGATTTAGTATCGAGTAGGAGGATAGAAGGATCTAGAATATAGTAGGATATTGTTTAGTATAGAGTAGGAGACAAGATAGAAGACGCTTGATAGCCTTTTTTCAATAGACTGGAAATTTCATGGACAGAAAGATAATATAAAGTTGGAAATTTCGTTAAAAACCATTTCATAGAAACAACATTTTATAGACAGGAGAATTCATATAAGGACATTTAATAGATGGACATTTCCAAAACAGGACATTTCATACAGGAAACCATTAAAGACAGGACATTTCATTTATAAATAGGACATTATATAGATAGAACATTTCATTTATAGATAGGACATTTTATAGATAGGACATTTCATTTTATCATTTATAGATGGGACATTTTATAGATAGGACATTTCATTTATAGATAGGACATTTTAGAGATAGGACATTTCATTTTATCATTTATAGATGGGACATTTTATAGATAGGACATATTATAGATAGGACATTTCATTTATAGATAGGACATTTTATAGATAGGACATTTCATTTATATATACAACATTTTATAGATAGGACATTTCATTTATAGAATTAGGAAATATCATTTATAGATGGGACATTTTATAGATAGGACATTTTATAGATAGGACTTTTTATAGATAGGACATTTTATGGAAAGAAAATGTTATTGACAGAAAATTTAATAGATGGGACATTTCATAGACAGGATATTATACAAACAGGACATTTACCTATCGAATATTTTATAGATCTAAAATTTTCAAATGTCAAAAATGAAAAAGTTCAAATTACCTTGTCATCCTGACTCAGGGAACTATCCTCATTTTTATCAAAGCTTGAAATCTCTCCAGAGTTAACTACAGCATCTACTAGGTAACCTGAACAATCACTTTAATTCTCCTGAGTTAACTACAGCATCTACTAGGTAACCTGAACCATCACTTTAATTCTCCAGAGTTAACTACAGCATCTAAGTACTAGGTAACCTGAACAATCACTTTAATTCTCCAGAGTTAACTACAGCATCTACTAGGTAACCTGAACAATCACTTTAATTCTCCAGAGTTAACTACAGCATCTACTAGGTAACCTGAACAATCACTTTAATTCTCCAGAGTTAACTACAGCATCTA